TTGTCCACTTTTCTACGTTTTGCATGCTGATTTGTTTATTTTTTATAATGGAATGGATTATACTTAAGTGTTATGTTGTTGAAACGCTGTTGGTAAAAAGTCACAATCATTTTTATCATAGAGTTGTCTACATACAAATGTAGTAACTACGAGATAATTGTTGATTTACTGATCAGTTAAATAGCCAATATTTTATATTTAATATTTACTTTTAATAGTTTTATTCCAGCTTAACTTCTATGGTTATTTTTTATTATACAACAAGCCATTTTATATAATACAAAAATAAAACTTCTTTTAACTAGTATTTTTATAAAAATTACCTCTTATGGTACTTTTCTCTCAAAAGTGAGAAAATTAAGTAAAATAGAGCATATAAAAACGTTAATCTGTTATATTAGTTAAAATGTGTAATTGTAAAGGTATAAAAGATTGAATTAATAATGAAAAGCATTAATTAAAGGCTGGTTTCGTTTAAGACGCAATAATAAGCAATTTAATTTCATGCAATAATATTTCTGGTAAGTAGCGTCATCTATCAGAAGTAAATTGTACTTGAAAGACATAAAGGTTTATCAACAGTGTACATTTGCAATGTGGAACTGCGAATAATTGACAAAGTAACATATACACAGAATAGAGGGCTTATATTATAATTGAAATGAGAAACGAGATAATGTATCACCATGCTAAGTACCAACGGGCATAAAATTGAGACATATAGATGGTGATTTTCTAAAAAATCTACAAAATACACTATTTTTAAGTATGTAATAAAAAATTATAAAATTATTTCTAATAACAATTAGAACACTACAAGTTGTAGGTCTTACAATTAAATTAATTAATTAATACAAAACTGCTAGCGACATCTGTATAATGTGCTCTGAATTACATAACGTTTGTAAAGAAAGTTTGTTTTTTGACGTCAACAAAAATATTAAAGAAAAAAATTGGAGAAGAAAATTTAAAATTCTTCAGTTTGATATGCTTTTTCTCAAATTAATAAACAAACGATAATGGCGGCATTACACTGCCTAAATAACGCATTGATAAATTGAAATGTATGTACCTAAATGTAAGCTTTTTTTTTTTTTTTTTGTAATCGCGGTGAAAGGTTTTATACCTACCCCTCCGTCTAGGGGAGACAGAGGCGGTTATGTGGGATTCACGGCCAGAAGGGCCCATGTTACCCACTAAAACACCAGCGGTCACTCTCCGTTGCCGCCAAGTGGATCGCCACGGGAAACGCCGAAGCATGCATCCGCGACGATCCGGCGGCGGGCCGCGAACGGCCACCTCCCCCCCCCGAGGGCTCACTCCAAGTGACCAGGAGTGTCCCCCCGCCTGGCGGGCTTGCTTAATCGCGAGAGGGTTAACCCCTTACCCCTCCCACCCAAGCCCACGCGGCCAGTCTCCAACCACCCACCGACGAGCGCAAGCGCCCGACGGCAGACAGAGAGGAAACCGACCGACCACAAGCGAACTCAGGCCTCCGGAGAGACCCGAGTATCCCCTCCCCCCCAAGACAGCCACGGACGGCCTCCTGCCAGATCCGTGACCGTCTTACTCCCAGGGCTGTACCCCCAGCCCTCCCCCCCGTGACTGATTGCACCGGAATACACCAGTGGGCGATGGGGTCGTCACGTCCCGACGCCGGACTGCGCCGACAGTGGCCGAGGCCACCCGCCAACACGTAGGGCCGAACTTGGCAGCGGCGGTGTACACCGCCGAGCCTCGTCCTACCCACCTCCATGGGCTGCACCCCCAGCCCGGGCCAAGACCCCACGAGGAGGTCAAGGCCCTTCCCCCCCGTGACTAATTGCACCGGAATACACCGGTGGGCGATGGGGTCGTCACGTCCCGACGCCGGGACCTAAATGTAAGCTTACGTTTACAATATCAAAGCAATAATCATTTCATAATATAATGTATATGTTCCGACTCTTTTTACTTAATGTTAGTGTTACCACAAATAGTACTTCTAATGCTAAACGAATAAGAAAATATATTATTGCATTTAGCTGTCAATTCCAATGGATATAATGACGTCACATGGAAATATTTTGTCATTAAAAAAAAAAATAAGTATTAATTTGAATTAATCAAAAATTTTAAAATATATGTCACAAGGTCTACAATAATTCTTTTGTCTGAAAATAAGATTGTGATAAATAAATTTAAAAAATTCTCTGTTATTATTTTTCTGAGGTGACTTAAATCGATTATTATAGGTGTGCAAATTTAGTCTTATAGGATTAAATCCGACAAAATAAATTATTTGCTATAACAGTACCGTCTGTTATCATACTTTATAGTTCTTAGCTTCGACTTCAACTATCTATTCTACAAAACTGCAAGAGAATCGGATTTTCACATTTTTTGAAATTTTGGATTTGTGACTTTGCTAAATTTAATAATATTTTACTTTATATATTACAGGGTTTTGTCGCTATCTTTCAGTCTGCTTATGTTACATCATTGTTCATTTAAATTATTAGTTATAGAAAAAAAAAGCAGTTTCTTACTTAAGAAGGATAACTGTTAGCATCTAGCTAAATACCTACTTACTGTAATCTTATTGTAAGAAACCTTTACGTTCAGATAATATTTTATGAATTACGACTAACAATAATATTACAGAGATTCCATTGCTGTAACTCGTTAAAAACAGATATTATTTTGAAAGGTAATTGATTGAAATAAAATCGTGTCATATAATGAGGGTTTCAATGTTTTTCGTGTATAAACCCACGTTGATAATAATTAATACATATTATAAAACAAAGTCGTCGTCCCCCCGCGTTTGTCAGTCTGTTCACAATAAATCGAAAAATTAATGCACTGACTATTATCAAGTAGTTTTCATTAGACGACAGTGTAATTCATGAGGAATGTTAAGTTAAGAATGTTAAGTTTTCATACTTATTTAAATGTACATTATCGATATTTGTTGCATGTCGGGAAAAAACGATTATGGAGTTTTTAACGAAAACGCTGCTTAATGCCTTTGAGATCTAAATATGACAAAATAATGTATGGTGGAATTATATATGTACCTTATATAAGGCTATAATGTATAGAAAAGTCCGCGGTGACATATTTATATCTCTTAAGGATAACATATTACATACCATATCCATTTACCTACTTTTAAAAATTGGCATTCATAAAACATTTATAGGAAAACTATTTTCATAATTATAGTATTAAGTTTTATCAAAATTAATTACTTCGTGTTTAAGCCTACATCAATATCTATAAATTACTTTTTAAATTATTGAATTTTGATGAACCATCTGAAGGTTATTCTAAGACAAGTTTAATAAATCTCAGAATTAAATCCGTGCGATAGCTCACTAATTTTTTCACATGATCACATCATTAATGTTGTAAACAAAATAAATATTGAAATGTAATAATATTAAAAACTATTTATAAAAACTACACTTTTTCTTACTTTCAGCTTGAAATATGTTTAACGAGGAATAATGATGAAATATTTGTTTGTCTTGATATAGCTAAAAAGTAAGTTTTAGACTAATGATGAAGCCGGGCGGGCACCTAGTTATTAATAAAAATATTAGAATCTGTCTTTACGTCTGCAATATAGTGTAGTGGTCTTCTACTCAAGTATGGAGACACTAGACAGATTAATGAAGTACAAGTTTATATAATATATAATATTTGCATCTATTTTCAAAGCTTGAATGGTTCCTTATAATAAAAGTATATGATTTTGTTAAACTTTCCCCTCATTAATTATCATCTCATAATGATTTTGAAGTAATTTAGGTATACTTTATACTCTAGATATATATATAGATTTCTTCACAAACTTATCTAACATGTATAATAATCAATTCACTATTGTATTTATTCGCACAAAGATTACGGCGTTCAATCAACAGACTTGTCAGATAAATCATACGATTAAACATAGGGTATAGAACATAGATAAATGTTTTGAAAAAATTCCGAACATCTATCGAGTAAAGAAAAACGTTTTAGCTATATTTAAAATTACCTATATAATAAATTTAAAACTGCGTTATAATGTAAATTGATGAATATAAAATAAGTATCGTATAAACATTGTGTCGCTTCCAAGGTTAGATCTTATTTCGTTCGAAACGTGACATTAATGTAGGTCGCGATAAGATTATTGAAATATATATAAGTTATCTTTGCGGAAACAATAACAATTATAAAAAGTAACACATATAAAAAATATATGTATGTATGTAAAATGTATTATGTAAAGGTACTATTTACTTGAGGAAAGACAATAAAACCAAAAATAATAAATTTCATACTTCTATTAAATTACTATTCGAAACATTATAATAATTAATCATAGACTTTCTCAACATAACACATTTATATTCTAACACACTTCAATACTAATACAATGTAAATGCAAGGTTTATGACAAGCTAAGTTATTGTGCTATATCTATACCTATCCCGATTTAAGTAAAGGCACTAACAAGAATTGAGCAAAGATATATGCATAATTCTTAGGCGTTCAATTTTCAAATATATTTAATTAATTCAATGTTTTATTGCTTTATGTTCAAATGTGAATTGTTATAAAAATATAAAAGTGCCATTCGTTGACTGTAATAAGATAATAGATTTTTTTTACATACAAAAATGTGTCAATTATTCATACTACATCTAATTTGTACCATTGCATGTGTTCTACACAGTAACATATTGTCTAAATTGAACATAACTTTGCAATAACAAAAAAAAAGTAAATTTCAAATACTAGAAATGATTTAGTATAAAATTATGGCCCTTCATGCAGAATATAAAAACCATTGCCATAAACTTAGCCCATAAAACATCAATGATGTAAAAGCATATAATTCATAATGGAAAGGTTTAATTAATAAAATAAAATATATTCACTCATGAGCACACTGGGTTAACACTAGGGAAACTAGAAAATATAATAAAACTTAGTGCCTCCCACCATAACCAAAATGGCAAATCTCACATATCAAGATCAAATATGAGATCATTCTTGAATTGGACTTCCAGATATTGGCCTTTGTTTAATCTGTTAGGATCATAGAGATTTGTGTTATGTTTTATACTATCACATGATTGCTTCTTTTGTGGCAAAGGTTTTGCACCTTTCTGCCAATTTTCAAAATTTTTATTACCATTACTATCAATATTTTTTGTTTTTTCTGTTTTTATGGTGTTTTCATTGGCATTTTCATCATACTGGTTGCTGTATAAATCACTGTCGGACATTATATTTTTACTTTCCTCTGCATCTGAAGTGTCCGGCACTCCACTGTCGTGACGCTGCTTGATAGCAGCCTTCCTCGGTTTTGAAAACTGAAAATAATAATTGCATTGAATTTTAAACCTTTTTGCTAAGACTGTTGAGTCTATAGTCATAGTAAATCTACTATGTTTAATTTAAAACTTTCAAATAATTAAATTTTCTTTGTGGGCATCTGACAAATTATTTAATGAATACCTTTAATGAATTTGAAGTGTCATCTTCAGCTTCACTTTCACTCTTACGCCTCTCAAGGTTACGTTTTTTGCTCTTCTTACGCTGATTTTTCTTTTTTTGGCCCTCAATTGAAGAATTATACCTGAAATGTAAAAATTCTCATAAAGGTAACAAATACTATATATAGTGTATATGCTTTATTTACCCATAAAATTGGGGTTTCTGAGAAAATATTATGATAATCAATGAATTACCGGAAAAACAATTTATATTTCAACCATCACCCTTACACTTATATTACCTAATTTTACATGAAAATAAACAGAATTATCTTATTTGATTTAGATGCTATTGGAATCATAAATCACATGTTGATTTTACAATCAACTATAGGGCATGTCATCTATTAAAGGTACATATAAATATGTTTGGCATCATTTTCTCTCAAACATTTGGCAACATAAAGGTAAACAAATTTATAATCAAATTATATAATATCTTATTGTTATGGCTTCTGACAGTCTGATTAAATTCTTACCTGTAAAATTGCTTAGCAATGACATCATTAAACCTAACAGTCTTTTTTAAACTCGATTCCTCATGGATATAATCAGAGCTAATGTAATCCATTGATGATGCAACATCTCCAGCACTTGATTCAGAGAAACTACGCATCATGGGCATAGACTTGCGTAAGATGCTCTTAGCTCCGGTATTAGTGAATGATTCCGTCCAAACAATTTCTTTTTCATTTTCTTCATCATCATCATCCTCGTCGAGAACATCTTCGTTACTTTTTGATGACACAACTATATTTGTTTCTTTTCCAAAGTTCGTGACTTCTATTAATGGAGTTAGTGTATCCTTTTCTGACATTTCTTCCAATTCTTCGGTATTAACAATTTGCTTAGTCGGAACAAGATCAAAGCATTCAGTTTTCATATCACTTTCTGTTAATCCTATTTGGAATTTTTCAGGTAGGTTTCCAAGGACTTCTAATTGTAAAATAACATTATTGTCCCAAGCTTCACCGGATACATTTTCCAAGTTTATTTCATCCTTGAATACAATTAGGGCTGCATAGTGTAAAGGAACAAACCCTGAACCGAGTGATGAGAACTTGATGTATACACTGTTTTTATCATGCTTTACTTTCACAGAATCAGGTTCAGTATTTTTAACATGAAATGTAAAAGCTAGAATATCATCTAATGCATTGTATGTATATGGAGGGAGTGTGTAGCCAATTGAGGAATCTAAGAATCCAGTTTCATCGATAGGGCTTAACGACTTAGACATAGTGGGTTCTGATGGTGTAGATGATATTTCTTCTACAAGGTTTGTCTTACATTCTTCATCACTGTTCGAAGTATCTTCACTTTCAACCCCACTATCTCCTTTCAGGGACAATGAAGTACTGGATAAGCTCTTTCTGATTACAGGTAATGTTACAGTTAGAGTATGTTTTGATTTGTCAAATCTGGCATTGCCACAATCGCTATCAACAGGATATGGCAATTCAAGTTCTAATTTATATTTTGCTGGTTTTTCAGAGATTAAACTTAATCTCTTCTCCCGAACATCTAAAGAACAATCTTGTGTTGATGAGATAAGCGGCATGTTTATTTCAACAACTATATGACTTGGTATAGCAGAGTAATGTTTACAATCTCTACTGTTAGTGAATTCCTGCATGTCAACATTTTTTTGCTGTTTAATAACATATTTTGGCACTGTATAACCATTTTCAGAAGCATGGCTGTAATCTTTATGACAGTTTTTTGCTTTTTTTCTATGTTCTTTTATAGTTTTATTTGTATTAACTTCTTGGGGTTCTTTTTTATCTGGATATAAATGTTGAGGATATAACTTGTTAATTACCTCTTCAGATAATTCCTCGTTTTCTTCATCAGTAACTGGTTTAAAGTTGGGGTCTTCTTTTCTAATCACAGCCGCGGTGGACATTCCTTTGTAGTAAGACTTAGGGAACCGGCAATTGTTGCTGTCTAAATGAATGTTGTATGTTTTCTGTAATCCATCAAAGGCACTTTTGTTTACCAATTCTCTGAATTTTTTGTTAACCTCTGCCATGCGCAATGTGTCCGGGTGAAAAACAACATCGTAAATTACGCAGCGTTGTTTGTTGTGATCGAAGTCTTCCCGAGGAGGAATAAGGGTATATGGTAGTTGCCAATTCATACCTTTTTGGCCATTAATCTCCTGAACACGGCAAGATGGTTTCTCAACATTCTCATTGCTGCAAATATTGATAAAAGCCTTTCTGTCGCCAGCGACGCTCGTTTTAATAACATAACTGCCTTTAGGATTGATGAAAGTTACATCGTAGCCACGTTCCTTTTCTAGTTGGGTCATTTCTTTTTGATAGATTGCTTGATTTGCCGGGTCACGTACTTCATCGCAGTATTCGTTAAGTAGTTCTCGAAATTTCTTGCTTTTCATAGCGTCTTGAATTGCTTCGAGGTCTGCTCTAGTAAAATTAGGTTCTTCATCACGAGGTTTTACTCCTGTTGCCATGTTGTCTTCCTTAAAATTTACAAGTGATAAAAATAAACACAATTATTACGCATAAACACGGTAATTTTCAGCTGACGATTGAATACCACAGACTTAAAACGTAGCTTTATCGTGATTCGTGAGCTTTGAGTTTTGGATTATCTAGTGTTACTCGATTGGTCGATCGTTGGTTATTTTCCAGTTGTCAACAAACTCAGCCGGCATTGAGATAGACAGACTATATAATGAAAAAAACATATGTTACGTCATTAGCAACTTCTATTTGAAAAACATTTATTAAAAAGTAACGTGTTATTTAAAATAAAAAACAAAAAATGTAAAAAAATATATATGTTTAATTTACATAGGAAGATTGATTAAAATTAAAAATTTACCTCTTTTGAGATGTTTTTAGGAAAGACAATATGTTTTACACGGAGAATTTTGACAATTGTTGAAACTAAGTTGTCACACATAAACCATAACAGACTGTTTACTTTATGAAGATTTTGTGACTAAAACTCTTTATAAATAAACCTTTTGTCTTTATAAACAGTTTTATATTATTTCATAAATGATAATGTCCAGGCATATATACAATTTATCTTGCTCTTTTATGCATCAACTACCTTATGTTTCTTCTGCTAGGTTATATAGCAGATGGATGCATCGAAAACCGGCCAAAGTTATATTACCTTTTGAACCAAATTCCAATACAAATTTGAAAAAAGAAAAGGTAATTGATTTAGGGAACAGCGACACAAGTAAGGAATTAAATATTCATGACGACAAAGAAACAAATGTTAAAAACGTTCCGGTTGTTAGTAAAGAAAAATTCAAAGAAATTAAGGAAAAGAAAGAGACTCTGTTAAAAAAGCGAAAATTCTATTTAAGCCAGAAAAAGGTATTTGATGACAATGGTGAAGTTATTTATGAAAAATTAAATAAAAATGATGGTAGAATCAGGTGAAAAAAAATATATTTTTTATGTTCATTTTAAATACAGAAGGATAATAACAAAAAATCTTTAAACCATTTAATTCCTTTCCAATTTGTAAGTAAATATTATATTCACGTTATTTTTTTAATTTTCAGCTCCCTCCTTGTTAGGCTAAAGTCCAAGAAAGAAAGAATACGGAGCCAACAGATAATGGTAGAGGGTTGGAGGTTGATAGTAGATGGACTGGAAGCAAAATGTGCTTTAAGATATGTCATATTCAGCCAAACGGAAGATTTAAACAAATTGAGACCGTTCTTGCCTAATACTGGTGTAAAAATATATAAGATACCATACAAAGAAATCGAATTATGGTCCAATGTTGATACACCCCCTGGAATTATTGGTAATTATTTTTCTAATGAAATATTTATAATATTTATAAACCCAAAATTAAATTGAAGTAAATATTTTTTATGAATGTATAAATTTTGTATGTGCATTTAATTTGTCATTAATAATGGGTTAATAATAAAAAAATTGTAGGTGTGTTTGATACACCTACAGCAGATAATGTGAAGTGGTTAAGTCAACCCATGCCAATACATTTAATATGTGACAATGTACGAACACCTGGCAATCTTGGAGGCATACTAAGAGCGGCCGCTGGTGTGGGGTGTGAAAAAGTTTTATTAACCAAAGGTAATAAACATTATCATAGGATTGTAAGTGTTATATAATAAGTAGATAATATAAGAAGTAGTCTTTAATGGCTGGGTTTCGTTTGATAAGTGAGAGAGAACTAGTTGCCCATTCCCTTTTCCCTCCCTTTCCCCCTATTTCCCAATCAAGGGTAGCAACACATTCACAAATCTATGTTGCGGATGTCTATGGGCGACGATACTACCTCAATCATGGAGGCTGTCCATTGCCCCCTTTGGCATAAAAAGAAGAAACCTCCGAATTTTAAATTCATGTTTTAATTGTTGAATAATTATTATTATATTTCTTTAGGTTGTGTAGATCTCTGGGATCCAAAAGTAGTAAGGAGTGGTGCTGGAGCACACTTCAGACAGCCTATCATATCATCGATAGATTGGGAAGAACTACCTAATCACTTAGCAAAAGAAACAACGATATTCATAGCAGATAGTAATGGAAAATTGATGAATGACGATTTTGAATCGGAAAATGATTTGGTCTGCAATATACCGGTTGTACCTTATTATAGTGTTGATTTTGGTATCTTAAAACATATAACACTTATTATTGGAGGAGAAACGGAAGGTATAAGTGAAAACAGTTACAGGTACTTATTTTACCTATACATAATTTTTAGTTCTAAAGAATGTATCAAAACAGTCATTGACCTTTCAGACATCAATTTTACAATATGAAAATTCATAAAAATACTATTTAATTCAGACATAACATAACATCTAATGTCAACTTGTGTACAAGTTTCAATGAAAACTTATACTTTATGGATTTTCATATTTTAGTTACTAATACTATGACTGTTATAAAAATCTCTATATTTATTAAAGCTCATTTTTTTCATTCCATCTCCATTTAATTTTGATAATCTTCAATTTAATACCACTAAGTTATTTTATTTTGATTATTGAAAAGGTGTCCATAAAATGTTCTTGCATTTTTTTATTAAAAATTAAAAAGTAATATTATTTTAGGTTGGCAGCTAACAAAAACGGTCTTAGATTAAATATTCCGTTACAAAAAGGAGTTGATAGTCTGAACACTGGAATGGCAACTGCTGTAATAGCCTTTGAAATGAGAAAACAATTAATACAGGTCCAGGCAAAGGCTCATTTAGATAAGCAAGGAATGAATGTAGTTTAAGGAAAATGTATTATGTATAGAAAATAGTGTTCATGTGTTCTTTGTAATGAAATAAAAATATTAGTATATATATTTTTTTTATTTTTAAAACCTTATTATTTTAAATAGATTTTGCGTGGGACTTTATATAGAACGTGTAATTGCGCCCTCTGTGTCTAAGATTAAGACCTACTTGATCAACTGTAAAACAACAGTTTTTATGCCTAGATGGAGTTAATTTGCTAACAATTTTCTCTGTTTTTAAATACTAATTACGTAACTCTATTCCTCATAAAATATAATGTTTTAATCTCCATATTTTAATCCTGTACATTTGATGTCGGTCTATATAAATATGGAAATGTAGATAAAAATATAAGTGTTATTTTTTATATAATATCAAATATGATAAATTATTTTGCTAAATAATGTGATTTTTTTGCCAGCAATTATATTAAGAATGGGGTCACAAGAGTTCACTATGTCAATACGACTACAATGCTTCCATTGGCTTTAAAAAAATGCCTATCTGATGATGTCATAAGATGCGCAGTCAATAGGCACAAGTCCAAATAGGCTCTCGCTGGGACTAGACTCTAGATTGAATAACATTACTGGATTTACTACAAGAATGCTCTTAGCGGCTCTATTTAAATAAATTATTAAGTCTGGGCGATGACGCTATGCTTAATATAGAAATGGGCTAAAATATAAAATTATCTAGATCGATATTTGTTAATAAATAAATCAAAATAATTAAATATTAAGAAAAAACATTAATAATATTTACAGCTGAAATACAGGAAGTAAATATTTTTAATATTAACTAAATAAAAAGTTGCTCAATAATGCACGTGACGCATCTAGATTACGGGTAAAGTATTAAGGGAATCTTCAAAGGAGAATTCGTAGTACCTAGTTAAGGATGTTCAATGTAGAAGGAGGCGTCGTCGGTCAATACTGTAGGTGGTGCGGTGGCCGTACAGAGCGCAGGCGTGGACCCGCGCCCCCCACACCCTGCTCCTCCGTTGCTCACGGCCCCCGCCGGCGGCCCACTCACGCAACTCGCGAGTCAGCCGCCGTGCGCTGTGTTCGCGCGACGATACTCAGACGAGCTCGAGTCATGTGTAATGTTTTCATCGCAGACAGGATCTGTCAGCTAAGTTTCGATAACGTAAAAGATGAATGAATAATTTATTCGATAACGAAGATTCGCGGGTCTATTTTTTTGTAAAACCTCGCCGCTGTCAGAGGACAGCTTTCGCCCAGCATCTAGTTTTTCTTGAAAGCTCGTGGCCGTTGACACTGCAGCGTGCGGGTCCCGCAGTGTGCAAGTGTGTGGTTGATTAGCGAACGTAAAGACGAGGACGTCAGCTGAGTCGCGTAAACATAAGCTTGACCGAGTTTTACTGAGGAGACCATGGCTCTGCCTCCGGCGTAGACTGGCAGCTCGAGGAATACAAGGATTGGATTTCATCATGCGGCGACTCATTTTGCTGTTATTGACAGGTAAAAAGCTTCATAGATACTCTAAATAGAATAAAAATATAAATGTATCTACTGTAAAAGTAAATTTGTAGCAGTTTCGATCTGTAACTTCCAGGATAACTTAGATATGGGTAGCTACGTACATATGTACGTGCAACGCTAAATTAAATATCTGTAATATTATCAGGGTTTATACTATTGATATTGATATATTTAATGGTATTAAGTCTCATTTATCTTAAATCTGGTCCAATTAATGAAAAAATATTACTATATTTAGAATATATTAAGCAAAAATAATAATTAAAAGATTTTACCAATTATAAAGTCATCCCACGCTTATTTATTGTCTGTTAGGCTTTTAGAGGAATTCTCGCCTTTTCCAACGATAAAATTATTTCGCGAATGCAAGAGCTATTAAAAAGTTTTGTATTGTTTGAATCCCATTGAAAAATTGTTACCATTTCTTTTAGTAATTTTAAATTCCTTCCAGTTATTTTGATTTATCAATAACAAAAGCATTAGTAACATCTGTCGATACTGGAATGTTCTCACGGCTATAAGATTTTTCATTCACAATACCATTATAAGTTTCAATTGTCATTTGTTACCAGTAAATAAAGAATAAACTAGAAACTATATTTTTGTTTTAATATAAGTACTTAAATAATATTTTTAGGGTAAATATAATGATAATATATAAAATCTAAATAATAGAAGCCGTTACTAGAAAAGTTTTAAAATTCATTATGATAAATTTGGATTTTTGTCTAAATTCTTATCTAAACATTTCTTTAAATCAAGTCTTAAAAATCCTATCACAATTGAGACGACAGGTGTTAAATGCAGGTAGACCGAAAAGGACTATTATCCCGACGGCTTAGCAAAAAACTGGCCATATGCTTCCAATTGCGAGACTATTATTATTAACTGAAGTAATTTATAGTTTTGCTTGTTATTGGACCCGCATCTCCAATTTGTATCAATGAAGAAACTGTTAAAATTGCTCCCACTGACCGATGGTAATGAATGCTATGTATTATGATAGAGACTTGCTTACGTAACATTTATACATGTTACCACAAATTTACTAAAGCTTACATTGTTCAGATTTCTTAGTAAATTCTCCGTACAATATTGATGTTCATATCTGTAATGAACAGCATACATCTAAAGTAGATTATACATTTATAAATTAAAGAAAACTTAACCAGGAATATAAATTTCAGAGCCTATATACAATATTATATAATGATCTGTAACTGCAAGGATTTACGTAATAGTTTTTATGACCTAACCTTTAGTTATAAAAAACTTGTAAATGACCTATTGATCTTTCCGTACATATTTTATCTATATTGATCCATACGACAAGTTACTTGAATCTTAATGAAATATCGTTGGTTGAATAATATGCCACGAGGTTATTTAAGCTTAAGGCATTTCCCTAAACCTCATTGATAACGGTATACCTAAATTAAGTAATTAATTCTAGTTTCAATAGACTTCGATTCTTTTAATATACATTTAGAAAATACGCTGTATATATTTTAAATATACATAAGTGTATTATAATATTACCCATGTTACATATATTTTTTTATATTCCTAAGACTTTTTTCGTATTCAAAGTTCAGAAAATATGCGATAAAGATTTTGCTTTTTAATATTTTTTTCCCAAACTGTACCCAATATTTAGTTTGAAACTTGTTTCCCGACGCAATTTATCATGTATCCCAAATGTTAGTTCTTTCTTCTCAAGACGGATGCAGAACGCACCTGGCCTATCCGTTTCAGACTTTTTTTAAAAAGGCACTGCACTTAAGTTTATTTTTAGTATTCTGACATTGAAATCAATTCCAGCCTCAGAGTTACGGTAATGGAATCTTCTATATATATAAAAATGGATTGCTGTTCCTTAGTCTCGCTAAAACTCGAGAACAGCTGAACGGATTTGTCTTATCTTAGTCTTGAAATGTTCGTGGAGGTTCAGGAAAGGTATAAAAGGTGAGAAAAATTGGAATAATTGCCGGGAAACCCTAAAAACAGCCCTTTTCTATTTCCCATACAAACGCTTTTTTTGACATTAGATTTGACAACTAACTAATATGTCAATCATTCTGTTTGATTGAAAGAGGAAAAACCTGATTATTTATGGCCTCTAAGACGGAATAGAGTTCGCCTGGTCAGCTATACATATATTACTAATGACGAAACTAACGCGGACGAAGTCGCGGGCAAAAACTAGTCTATTTATAGAACAATAAGCCACCAACTCAGTAATTATTTCAACTGTTAATAACATTTCATATTAAAATCTTTAGCTTTTATTAATTGTTCGACAATATTCATCTTGATGAAATCACTTAATTAAAGTCAGTTGTTAAAATTTCTGGGATCTTTCGATATCCATTAACTTGTAAGTGATTTATCCAAAGCTTTGCTAGCTTACGTCGGCTTCCTAAAAACGGGTTTTCACTCCTACATAAGTTCTAATGGATTAAAAGAACCGTTTATTAAATTTAATAAACATAATGACTGAGATTAGTTTTTTAGGTTACATATATGTATTTTTATGAAATGTATAAAAATAGCTTTTATGTTAGGTACATCATATTTTATTCTTATCCGTAGATAAGCTTATTTATTGTGAATGAATATAGAACTTTTGACAAGCTGGAAGATATTGGATGACCTTGAGATGCGGAGTTTTTTTACTTTCGTTATTTAATCTATTTTGGGGTGGTGACAGGCATCATACAGAATGGTTGCGGGGACATGATAAGTAGCCGGGGCGCCGCTTTCATCTGTTCCGCACTGTGTGTACTCTTTATGGGATGCGCGGGCGCATCTTAAGCTTCACTTACACTGATAAAACCGTTTTTAATTTTATTAAACGCTGTGGTAAACAAACTCGAAATAACAGTAAACAGTGAGAGGAGAGAAAATATAACATTTTGTGTTATATTTTCTCTCCTCAATTCATAAAAAGATTTATCAAACCAAAATCTTCCAACAATCATACATACGTAATTATTACGCAATGCATATAATATTTAAATCTAATTACATCGGTATGAGCGCCGCCTTTTAGCAACAGATCAAGGGTCTTAAACTCTAATGACGTTAACTGCATTGCTCTCTTTCATTCACAGGAGCCGTGACGCTTGCATACCGTTATCTCACGAGATAACCTATTTATTTATTGCCCTTTTTACGAGTACCAGTAAATGTATAATTTACGGATTCAGCCCACATATTAACAGATAAAATTTATCAATTCTTCAGGTTATTTAATTTGTTTATTTTTCAATCTAGAATTTCTTGTTTTATAATATTTTTGTTATATATATTGAAGAAGCATTAGAGTGTATAATATAATCAAGGATACGAACATATAAAAAGAATACATGTAAATAAAATTGATTTACTTAATACATGTACATATATAAATCATAAATTTTCCCAGAAGTGCAATTCTTGGTCATAATAAAGATGTTTCGTAAGATATACCGCAGTAAGACATTATGTGTACAATGAGATTTCCCAGGTGCAAATGAATCTTATTTAATTTTACTCCGGAGCCTGAAACAATCCTAATCGTGTTACATATAACGCCAGTTCTCTCATTCTTTGCCCACATTAAACCTACAAATCTTCATTAATTCTATAAAATTTATATTTCGACTCTTCTCGCACTTTGCATATGATACTGAAGTTTAAACTTTACGGCGGCTCTGCCCGAAATTTATTCCTTTAAAAGAGAACTACAATCAGAATATTGTAAAAGAATCTCACTTTTAACAAATTTACATGTAAATGGGAGAGATGTAACAGATGTTAACAAGACATTGTATCTTTATGATTCTCAATATCTTTCTGTTACATCTTATAATTTACATATTAACTGTTGTCCACGGCTTCGTCACTTTGGCACTTTAATCTTGTACCGTTGCCTTTTCGAAAAACATATGTAATATAGTAAATTGCCTTTAATTTTTTATAAATAAAGTATTGAAGAAGGATATAAAGGTTCATAAAAAAAGGATTAGAAATCGTTGTCACTCCGATAAGATTTTTTTTTTATAGATTTTCTAACCTTTTCGAAAGATTGTAAAGACAATTTATATTCAACTCGATAACTGAATTTTATATGAGGTAATGAAAGCCGTGTGAAGGACACTCGTGTAAAATAAAGGTTAAGTCTCACAGGACCGTTGAGGTCAACAATACCTTACAAAGGTCGTAGGCTAGATTACGGGGACATAATAGTCCATAAGTTCTACTTTGAATTATCTCCACTATTTTGTCTGATTTAAGGAGGTGTTATATAACATTCTATCAATTGAAAATTTTAAGTATAATAGAAAATCATAAGTTACGAGATAAAATATTAAGCAATACCTAGTATGAAATGATTCCAATAAATATTCCTCCAAAGACTTCATAGATTGAAGTTTTATTCTACTAAATGTGTTGAAATGTATTTCCTCTGTAATATGCCTTGTGAGGTTAACTTCTTGCGGAGTGTTTAATTGCTTTTCAGTTGTTCAATTGCTTTTAAACTCAACTTTTAAGTCTACATTTTGTTAAATTAAATCCCCAGTGCTCTGCTTTTAAACGAGAATTTTGTGATTTATATAACAAATAGTTCTTTTAAATTTTACAAAGGAAGATGTTTCTTGTTTACTCTGTGTATTTTTATGTTATTCAAACGAAAAGTTTTCTTTGAATTATATTGTACATTCCTTTTTGTACAAAATTAATTGATATTTAAAGTATATAGCGCAAAAAAGTTCAAATATGTTTATTCTATAAATCAAAACAAACAAGTCGAGTAGGGAGGACAAAAGACTCGGTAA